TGGTCACAAGGGCATTCATCAGAGCACATAGGAGCACTTTTGTCTGGACCTTATCATCAGAGCACACAGGAGCACTTTTGTCTGGACCTTATCATCAGAGCACACAGGAGCACTTTTGTCTGGACCTTATCATCAGAGCACATAGGAGTAATTTTGTCTGGACCTTATCATCAGAGCACATAGGAGCACTTTTGTCTGGACCTTATCATCAGAGCACATAGGAGCACTTTTGTCTGGACCTTATCATCAGAGCACATAGGAGCACTTTTGTCTGGACCTTATCATCAGAGCACATAGGAGCACTTTTGTCTGGACCTTATCATCAGAGCACACAGGAGCACTTTTGTCTGGACCTTATCATCAGAGCACATAGGAGTAATTTTGTCTGGACCTTATCATCAGANATTTGAAAAATCTTTTACCTGATTAAATTGTATTTTAAAATGATTCGGCGTTCAGGACTTCGTATTATCGTAAAATATTTCAAATTATAAAATGAACTACATCCACGGTTCACTCACCAATGGTGTTGTTTGTTTATTGGTGTTGTAGTGTCATTAGTTTCCTTATTTCTTAAATGGAAAAAATAAAAGATGTAATCAAGTACAATATGTGGAATACTAATTTTGAGAAAAAAATGTACTTCTTGACAATTGGTATCATTAATCCATATTAATATAACTACATAGGTTTAGCATGAACAAATCGTTAAATATTGAACATATAAGCTACATTTATGTTTATGAAACAGATAAATGCCAAACAGAGCCGCCACAACACTTTTGAAAGCCTCTTGCACATTTTCAATTTTCTTCTTTTAATTATTTAAATCAATTTAAGATACTTCCCATTACATCTTCAAAATACAATAAATTCGGGAGCTAATATAAATTTATATTGTAAAAAAAAGAAACATTTGTTTCTTTAAGCGATAATTTATTGAACATTTTCAGCCCCGTATTGCTTTTCTATTTTTCTATGGATGTCTTTTTGACCCACTTTCTGTCATCCTATTAAACTGAAAAGTGGCGAACCTAACAACCCATTACATAAAATTATAAGTCTCAACCCCCCAAAAATCTGTTTTTTTCTGTTTTTCAAGGGAAATGTTCAATGGTTGCGTCTTTGTGTGTGTGAAGAATAATTGTATAGCTGTCGCTATTTGCTTTGTGTTATGGAGTAATTTCAAAAGAAGTAAAAATTAAAATCGTTTTTGAAGGGAAAAAGTAAGGAACGGTTAAGCTTGTTTTCGCCACATGTTTAACAATTTACATAACCACTCCTTAATGAATGATAAAGCACGTACAACTCCAAAAATTAAAAAGAAAAAAAAAACAAATTAGACGAAAACTTTTTTTGTCATGTGTTGTTTAATTTTTTTTTTTTTAAATATCACTAAATATTCAAGGCTACTTTAAAAGGAACCCAGTGAATATTTTTTAATTATTTTATTTATTTATTCTTTTATTTATTTTTAATCATTTTATTTTTACTATTGAATTTAGGAAATAAAAAAAAAAAAAATTCAATTTTTCAAAATGCTTTTTTTTTTCTTTCCCATTTAGTATAACCTAAATTCAGGTGAACAAACATTTTTCACTGGTCCATTGCATGATAAGTCCACTCCTGCAGAAAATACGTTAATAAGATCACTTCTGGCAACAATAAAAAAAATATATAATTGCATAATTTTCAAACTCTTTGTTGTATTCACTGATTGTTTTATAGAAACATATTTATCGCAATGAGCAATGATTGGGATGGATTTTAATAGTTAGCCTCGGACGGCAACCCATCTAAGAGAAGCCAAACACTGAATTCAAACAAGAGCCAGAATAATAAATGGTAATAAATTGTAATAAATTGATCGTGTGTCCTCAGAAAATAGAAGAAGAAGATCTTTGACATGTCCTTAGCTGATCGCTAGATTTATTTTTAATTTGGTGACGTCGAGACTCACTGCACAGAAGTGTCACCCAATTTGTCCCACCATTCTTTATGTCTTTATTTCTTTTATGTATTAAAAAAAAAAGAAACGCTCATCCTTCTCAGTGCATTCAGAATGTGCAAGTTATTTTTTTTTCAGAAACAGACATCGTTTATATATTTTGACTTGAACGATACATATGTTTTATTTAGAATATTGTGGATCAAAATATAACTCGGAAGGAAAATACTTTATTGAAACATGCAAAAATAATATTGTTCTTATGAAAAAAAAAAAATATTTATAGATTTTGTAATGAAAATGACAATTAACTCTAGGAAAAAGCAAGTTTTGGATCAGGCCATATTTGGGATTTTGGGTCCTATCAGCCATTCAGCATGTTTTTAAAATTGCAAATAGCAAAGTAAATGTATGTTTAAAACTGGGACTCACCATTCTAAATCTCATAATTTCAATTTCATTACAGCTATTGTTGTCTGATTATGTCTGCCAAACCTATAAGGGAAGTAGTCATGTTAAATTACAGTTATATTATTTTTGTTATTACTTCCCTTGTCTACATGAAATTGTAATTAAAGTAAGTCTGAATTAAAATGTCATTGTCTTTTTTTAAAAAAAAAATATTTGTTCTTTCATTTTCCATAAAATAGGTGGGCAGAAAAAATAAACTAATTAATCATGGTCAATTGACAGTTTCAATGACACGGTTTTTAAAGGAGATTTATCTTCAAATTCATATATAATGTCCGTTTGGAATACATTTTCATTCGTTATTAAAATAAAAATAATAAAGAACCAATAAGTGCTGTGAATCAAATTTATTGTAGCAGATGAAAATTTAGATATCAACATAATATAAAAGACTCCTTTTGATTCCTTATTGAAATGGCATACTCTATCAGTCCAGAGTCTTTTAACTTTAAACAAGTAGGTCAAGTACGACCTCTAGGCCCCCTGCATGTGTCACAACTGTGATATGGTCCTGTGTTGTTCGTCCGTCGAGGATCGACGATGACCATCGAGTCGTCTGGTGACTGATGACTTGCGCGGGTGACTTTTGTTTAAAGTGAGGAAGAGTTGCTCAGCGTCAACCTCACTCTCTCGTCCGAGCCCACCATATCCAGTGGCAAGACTCTACGTCAAGACGACCAGGGATGGGTACGGTTGCAGGAATGGACATTGTATGCGCCTTACGGGACTCCAACTCCGGGTTTGAATTCAGAGTTTCCTTTAAAAAAAATTAAAAAAAAAAAAAAATAAAAAAAAAAAAAAAAGTAGCCCACATTTCATGAATCTTTTGTCATAAATGACGCCATTGTGGGAAAACCAACATTTAAAAATAGATTACCAGGAGTAACAACATTAATGGCGTTATCCGCATATCAACAATTTAAAATAAAATATATAGATTTTTTTTAAATTTATCAGTGATGAAGAGCTACCAGGAGGGAGTAGGCTACATCAGTAATAAAGAGCTACCAGTACTGAGTAGGCTACATCAGTAATAAAGAGCTACCAGTGCTGAGTAGGCTACATCAGTAATGAGCTACCAGCATTGAATAAGCTACATCAGTAATGAAGAGCTATTTGTACTGGGTAGGCAACATCATTAATAGAAAGCTACCAGTGTAGAGTAGGCTACATCAGTAATAAAGAGCTACCAGTACTGAGTAAGCTACATCAGTAATGAAGAGCTACCAGCATTGAATAGGCTACATCAGTAATGAAGAGCTATTTGTACTGGGTAGGCAACATCATTAATAAAGAGCTACCAGTACTGAGTAGGCTACATCAGTAATGAAGAGCAACCAGCATTGAATAGGCTACATCAGTAATGAAGAGCTATTAGTACTGGATAGGCAACATCATTAATAAAGAGCTACCAGTACTGAGTAGGCTACATCAGTAATGAAGAGCAACCAGCATTGAATAGGCTACATTTATTTGTACTAATTGTACTGTGTAGGCAACATCATTATTAAAAAGCCACCAGTACTGAGTACGCTGTATCGAAATAACCTCACAAAAACATCCAAAGGATCAGTGACATCATCTCAAGCTACTGAAGTCTTCACAGCTGATGTTACACGGTGTCCGCCGTGTCATAGTGTACACGCCGAAGACGTCACAGAAACAATCAAACATACAAACAAAAAGCGTTACCGGAAATTTGATCGAAAGAAATTTCGTCGACNAAAAAAAAAAAAAAAAATCAGAGACAGACATCTGATATAGGGTGACCAAATCAGGAATTGGAAAAAAACGGGACACACCCAAGGAGGGTTGTTTGGGGGGGGGGGGTGGGGGATACTCTCCAGGTAAAGAGGGGATTGGGGACCTCCGCCGGAAACTTTTTATTGAAATATGTTCATTTTAACTATTGTGATACCTAGAAATCTTTTAAACTTACCTTTACTTCATTACACGTACCCGGTAGCGGAATAAAAATTGGGTTCTTAGCAGTTACGCTCCCCTCCCCCCCCCTTCCCGGCAGCTTCAAGTCTCGTGTCTTTCGCTATACATATAAGATCTATGGCAGGGACACTGTCGTTTACGCAGCGTCAGCAGAGTGGTGGAGGTCTAAACAAAAACAAAGCTAGCCAAAATATTGCTTGAAGTTTTATATTATAAATTAGGAAGTTTTCCGACATCATAATATATAAACTCTAAATAACTTAAATAACGCACAGTAAATTCAAAAGACAAGAAAGGTATTCCCAGAGCCAAACGAAGGGGGTGATACAGGGGGGAAAAATGAGGAGATTAAACATACACACAATTTGTGTAAATAAAACAAAATATTTAAGCTTTAGACTTAAGTTATCGTGAATCAAAATACAAATTAAAATGTTTCGACTAAGTCTAAGGGACTCCGTTGGACTAACTTCCTCTTCAGTACATCAGGAGCCAAGATTATGTCTACATTTGCAGCCAGATCATTTTTAAATGTAATAAATTTATTATTGCATCAAAGCCACGAAGATTTTCTTACATACATAATTAATTTTTGATATTTTTTTCGCAATTTTCTTTTAGACCATAATTTTTTTTTAAACCGGAAGAAGTAGTAATTTTTAGTCGACATTTATCCGCGAAAATAAAGGATTTTAGCGACACCAAGCATTTTACAGGCAGTTAAAATGAGTGATGTTCAAGAGTACCCTGATGTTGTACAGGAAATCAGAGGTGCACTGGTCAGTATTAATTCCTGCTTTTTCAGTATAAATTAATTTTTTATGAATAATAATATTTTACACTTGCTCTGTTGATGGGCTTAGGCTTAGGCGGCTTAGGCTAGATACTTTGGTCAAAAATGTAAACATTTTTTAAAAATAAATCAATGGCACAGTTGAATAGAGCTAATTTTAAACAGAATTATAACACCAAAATCATATTTTTAGCTGTTGTAGTTTTAAAGTTATGAATTTTTAATGTACGACTTGGTTTGTCATTTTTTAACATGGACTGCATCTCCACATTCTGTGACCTCAATCCACTGATCGTGTCATGCGCAATGACTATATAGTTTATATAAGGCAACGCATTCCCTATCACTAAAATACTGTTTGGTGTCGACTTATTTTAAACTTGCAACTTTGGCACATGAATAATTAATAAAAGCTTTCCCTGACCAATGGTTTAATAGCTTTTGCACACGGCAAACTCTTATGAATGAAACTCTGAGATCGTACTACGACGTAGCCGTTATGCAAGTGGCTGTGAATGGTTGCCAATGACAACGTGTTGCACAGGGAAAATTCTGATCATTTATAATATGGACTCCACAGGGTTTTTAAAGCTCAAATTAAAACATTCCAGTTTAAATGTCTTCAAAATGCATTCTGAAACACAAAATATTAAATATTTTGATGTATATAGTGGTAATAATTAAATATTTCCTAAGTATCGGCAACTTCCGCCATTAAAAAGGGGGCGTGGCTCACGCCATGTCGAAATTAGGCTGAGCCACCTTATGGTGATATGGGTCACTGTGAGAAGTGTAAGGAACGTGAGACACGACCTACATCAATAAAACTTGGCACAGATATAGATCAATATCTAATGCTTATACAGATTTAATCAAAAAGGGCCTTATCTTATTATTTCACAAAAAATTTTGTTTGCGAAGATGCCTTATATATACCAAAGATTTTCAAAATAAAGGTCGATTGAAAAAAGCAAAATAGCTGGCTAGAAGTGTAGGCCAAGATGTCTTCCAAATTATAAGGCCGGAAACAGAACTCAAATATATGTCGAAAGAACTTTAATTTAATTTAATAATAAATAGACACACACATCGGAAAATTAAAAGCTCGGATTTTTCGGCGCCGACGCCCATTTCCGATACAAAAAAAATAGTAGTCTCCCTTGTTTCATCGAAGTATCTACTTAGGCTTAGACTTAACTTAGGGCTAGGCTGTTATGAGCTGAAACTGCCTGCCATGTTCAAACATGGCCATAGCAATCAATATTCATGGCCTCGCCTTGTCGCTGTCTAGGTAGGGGGAGAGTGACGAGTTTCTTTTTAATGCTGACAATGCAACCTGTAATTTTCAGAGCTTCTGACACTGAACATAATTCTTTCGAAGTGTCTACACATCTGGCGTCCGGACGAATAGTGCGGGAGATATGCGTCCGGCAACCAAGTCACATGACCGCCGTAACAAAGTTGCGCGAGATAGTTGTCCGTCAGCCTTGTCACATGACCTATAATAGTACAGTGGATTAGAAAAATGGCGTCGAAGATGCATGTGGGCAAATAGTTTTTACATTAATTTACTGAGTAGTTTATCTTGTAAACAAATAATAGAAAAACATACTTGGGGATGGTACCAAAACAAAGGGGGGGTGTGGGGGGGTCACGTGACATGCCCGCCGGACGCATGTCTCCCGCACTATTCGTCGGACGTGTAGACACTGCCTAATTCTTTCACGATGTGTGTTTTTATAATTATGACAGCTCCTTCCAAGCCAGTTATAATAGTTTGTCTCAACATATTTCTAGTCATAGTATTGTATAGTGCCATAAATTGTGGTATGCTGTGGATCTCTTTATAACAGGAGTTCTTAAACCCTGGTCCAGGTACCCTTCGGGATCCGTGGCAATGTCTTGGGAGGTCCGTGACCTGCATTTCATTTGTAATTTTATTACATGTATTTAAAAACATTATTAAAGGAAGGGGTCTTTAACCTTCGTATGCTGGCAAAGTGTTACATGAACATCGGAGTAGACAGGCTAAGAACCCTGCTTCCCTATGCAAATCCGGTACTTGACCTCATGATGTTTGAATAAACTTTTCAGTGGCGTGTCCAAGACAAATGGTTAAAGAGGAAATGATTTGGGTCGATGGCATATAGAGAGGAAGTCGAAAACAAAATGTCAGGCGCACCAGTATTTATTTGTCAGTGTGCTCCAAACTTTTCGATCATCCGAACTCAGATTATTCAGCACTGATTCCCATTTCCCAAACACATTTTGAAGTAGTCTCCCTTGCTTTACCCGAGTGCCTACACTGTGCCTTGCTATTTGTCACAAATTTAGGAGTGTTTTCTTCTACCAAAAAACAGAAAGAGTTATCTGTACATATTTTGGCCAAAGAGGGATCCTCCTCCCTTATGGTCATTGATTAATTAATTAATTAATTTGTCACTCAATATAGACACCCTCATAACAAATGGTTACAAATGCATCATGTCATTAAAGGATACCCCTGTGGCAACAAGAAGATAGATGGCAACCATGTAAAATAAACTAGGTCTAGTGCTCAACATTATTTATTATAAGAAATAAAAGCAGTTAAGTTATGTTGAATATGATGCAACCAGGTCTGACCAAGAGTGTAGCATTGATGCTTGTATCATAAACATGAAAAACTGACATCATTCAAGTGTTGGTGCAGCACCATGGTCAAGTTACTCCACTATTTTAATACTTTTAGACATTTATTAAATTATCACTTCAAAAATATATCAGACCTATTTTTAATATTCACGACAAGTCATGCACAAATTTATTGAGGCAGCTGTGACAGATTAATTTGCTAATCATCTTTTGGATATCAGGAAGTACCCCCCAGATAAAGATCTAGAATGTTTAGAAGTTTTTTTTATGTTTTCATTAACATTTTTGAATGTTCTATCACAATGACAACAGTCAGTTAAAGTTTTAGCAATCCCAGCTTAGTAGGAGAAAATATGGATTTTCATTGCAGTACAGTTATGTACATAAATATCAATTTTTTTTACAATAATATAAATAATTTGTCTGTAGCTTTGTATTTAAACTAAAAGTTTTCAATAAACATTTTCAGAATCCTGGTCGTTTAAAACTTCAGAGAAATAGTGTCATTTTCAAGAATGTGAAAACCGGGAAAGTGGACCAGTTTCAGAGCTCTGACATTGAAAAATGTCTGTGGCTGAAGAGGGCACGGGGTCATTGTCTCAAATTTGTTCTTTCCAGCGGTGGAATTCACAGATATGATGGTTTTAAAGATGCAGTAAGTTTTTTGTTTGTTATTTGTTAGATAAATTTTTAAATATAGTATGTAAAATAAGATATTACTAAAGGCAAGATTTAAGATTTGATAACTACCATTTAAAATAATTGATTTCTTTATCTCTTTCTTTATAAGGAATTTGAAAAATTGGCAAAATTCATTTCAAGTTATTATTCAGTCGGCCTAGAAAAAGTTGATATGTCTTTAAAAGGCTGGAACTGGGGAACGGCAGATTTTGAAGGTAATATTTTCATTTGGCATGTATTAATTAAATAAAAGTAAAGTCATTATGGATTCTGATTTTGTTGAGTATTTGATTTCACCCTTAAAACTTGCAATACCTAATTATCATTTTCTGTCAAAAAATTTCAGGAAATTCTTTAAATTTCAAGATTGACAACATCCTTGCTTTTGAAATTCCACTGACCAATGTTATGAACTCCACTACTGCAAAAAATGAGGTAACAATTGAATTTCATCAAAATGATGATGCTGCAGTATCACTAATGGAGGTCAGATTTCACATTCCACCAGAACCTGACACAGAAACAGATCCTGTTGTTGTAAGGATTTTTTTCTTTTTTTTTAAATTTGGTTTTAGAAATTTTTTTTAAATTCTAAAAACAGTTAACGAAAGCCTTGAAAAATTTGTTTCAATGTGAATGTTTTTCAAACAATATTTTGCTGTGTTAAAATAAGTTTAATTAGAAAACTTCTACAAAAAAAAAAAAATGACCATTTAGTATACTTACCAATGCTTTTCTTTTCAGCAAATTCGCAAAATTTGTATTATACATTACTTTGAAGTAATTTTTTATGAAAAGAGAGCTTTAGGGGCTTTCCAAATGCACTTAATAATAATTGTTTTAAAAATTATTTTAAATGTCTGTTAAAAGAAAAAACTAGATATTTGAATTATGAATGAAATTTTTTTTAGACTTTAAAATGACCAAAACATTTTTTATTAAAGAAAGTGTCCAAAATACTAAGTTCTTTCCTTTTAAGGTTTCTTAAATAAATTAAGTGTTGCATTACCCATGCATGTTATATTTAAATAGAATTTAAGCAGCTTTTAAACAAAAATTGTGTTCTTTATATTTAAGTTTCAAGTGAATTTATTAGATGGGGCATTTATTCAAATCTTGAAATATATTTCTGTCAGAATAAAACTAATTTTTTTTTAGTTTTGAAAATAACTAATCCAAGTAAGTTGTCAAAATTTCACATTCTCATTAATGAATAAAAAGTTTGATTGTGATAAGGGATTCTGCCAGCTTTTTTTACATCAATTATAAAAGGGTAGAAATTTTAAGATTTAAATGAAGTAAAGATAGCTTTGTTAGATTCTTAAATTAAATTGATCATTTTCTCTCTCCTTCTTTAAGCAATTTCATAAGAATGTTATGGAGAATGCTGATATTATACAGATTAGTGGTGAGAGTATCTGTACTCTGTCTGAAGTCCAGTGCTTGACACCAAGGTAAATATGGAATATTTTTAAAAAGTATGATTTTGTCAGAAATGGTGTTTACTTTCTTTAAAAAAAAAATTACTTGTCATTATTTTAATTTTTTTCCCACAAAACCCAGTTTGTTAACCAAACATTTGATAACTAACATTCCTAGAAAAGAAATCTCCGCTAAAAAAAAACCAAACCCACCTGTACCAAATTAATGCATTTTTTTTTGCGTTCACTGAAGGCCCAATTGTCTTCTAATACGATGATTGAATACCAGTATGCCTTACATTTATCTTTTCATATTTCAGAGGTCGTTATGATCTCAAGCTGTTCCCTGGATTTTTGCAACTCCATGGTAAAACATTTGACTACAAGATACCATACCAGACAATCCTTAGATTGTTTTTGTTGCCTCACAAAGATGGCCGGCAGATGTACTTTGTGGTAAGTTTAACTTGTGTTTGTTTTTTTCAGCGGCAGTTTCACACAATTGAACCTTACCTCAGCCCTTTCCTGTGGTGTGACAGTGCTTATTCTATTTGGCAAAGTCAAAGGGTGCATGCACAAGAAGGAAAAACAATGTGGGAAAAGCTCAGCTAATGTAGCAGAGCTCAAGGACAGGAAAGGCATCTGGTCTCTAATTGGATTTTTTTATCCATGTTTAAAAATTTTACTATGCTTATTTTAGAAATTATATTACACAAAAAAAAAATTTTTGAAATTTTTTGAAAACAGGAATTCAGTTTGACCCTTTTAAAAATTGTTTTGCTATTTTTAAGGCTTCTTTGTTTTGTTTTTGTTATCAAAACTTTTTTATCTTTTACCACATGCCTACTGCAATGATCTTGAAAAATTGATTGAATCTTGATTGACAATGAGCACTTTTCCCCATTTTAATAATTTCAGGTAAGTCTTGATCCACCAATCAAACAAGGCCAGACAAGATACCACTTTCTGATTCTTCTCTTTAATAAAGAAGATGAGATGACGCTAGAACTAAATTTATCAGAGTAAGTTTTGGTTATTAACCAGAGCTCCATTATTTTATTTGCCCACATGTTTTGCAAAAGGGTGGGCAAGTAAAATATGAAAATTTTACTATTGGTATATGAGCAGGAACTATCAAATTAAAATCTTTTATGCAGTAATCTGTAAGCAACTATAAGAATGTAACTACATTTTCTCAAATTTTACTTAAGCTTTAAATCACAGTCCAGTTGAACAACATTAAAAAAATGTTAAAAAATTGTTTTAGTCTTCTTATTTAAGTAACCAATATTCCATTATTAAATTGTTGATCTTGGACTCATAGAAATTTATTATTTTTAAACTGATAGAGATGATATAAAGACAAAATATGAAGATAAACTTCAGAAAGAGATGTCAGGACTTGAGTTTGAGGTTGTTAGCAAGGTATTCAAAGCCATCACTGGTCGCAAGATTACAGTTCCAGGCAGCTTTACAGGGTAAATTGATTTTTACATACATATATACATGGTGCTGTTACTTTAAATATAGTGCTTAATTACTTTATACGAAGTGCTGTAATTGCTTTATATGTAATGCTGTACTTATTTTATACATAGTTCTTTATATGATTCTGCAAGCCAGTTATCGCTGATCGTTATTCCTTGTCATATTCCAGCAACTCTGGTGCTCAGGCTGTCAGCTGCTCTTACAAAGCTGCCACAGGTCTCTTGTACCCACTGGAGCGGGGTTTCATCTTTGTCCACAAGCCTCCCATCCACATTAGATTTGATGAGGTGGCAAATGTTAACTTTGCCAGGAGTGCTGGAAGCACCAGATCATTTGACTTTGAGGTCGACACAAATGCAGGGGCCACATTTACCTTTGTTGGTGTGGAAAAGTAAGAAAGGCTTTGATTATAACTTGTTTCATACAATCTTTTCTGCCTACATTGGACTCTTAATTATTATTGATTAAGAAATCATAACATAAGTTGATATTGTGTATTTATAATATTTATTCTTCCATCTCCAAGAGTTTTATTATAAATACAAAGTATAATTGCTATCTTCCAGAGATGAATATGGAAAACTTTATGACTTTGTCAAGAGTAAAAACCTTAGGGTTAAAAATATTGGAGATAAGGGGGTAAGTGCTTTGATCAGTTTTTTTTTTTATGTATGGCCCTTAAATGATATAGACAGTCAAAATAAATTCAATTTAGACTTTGTGTTTAAGCATGAAAAAATGTTTAAGTCTTGTTCATGTAAGAGCAAAAATTGTAATTATTTGTTCTTAATCACATTGCTTTAAATGTTCTTATTAGTTTTGTACGTAGCTTAGTCAGTAAAAATTATCCTGTAGGACAGGTTCATGTTGTATAAACAATTTGCTTAATTTCTGTTTCAGAGCAAAACAACGTCTTATAACGAAATGTCTGACAGTGATGCTGAGGGTGGAGATCACGATGCTTACTTAGAGAGGATGAAAGCAGAGGGCAAAGACAGGGATGATGATGACAGTGACGACAGCTCTGGTTAGTTCCAGTATTATTTACTGTCATACATTTTTTATGTGTTTTTTATAGACATCTTCCAGTCTAAAGTGGTTTCTTCAATATAATAATTATTTTTGCACTCTGTTGGAGGCATGTTTATTTTGACTTTGAATCAAAGTGACACCAATAATTAATGGCTGAAAATGTATATAATATTGCAATTTAATGAGAAACTTGAATTTCTTCTTACAGATGAATCATTCAATCCAGGAGAGAGTGGTAGTGAAGTTGCTGAAGAGTGAGTAAAAGATTGATAAGAGCAATGTCAAATCAAATGTTTATTTTACTTCATTTGTGTTATTCTAAGAAAAACATTTAACTTATTGAATGTCTTTGAAATGCTTTGTCCAATTACTGAAGCATATAATAACTATGGTAGTAATCATGAGATCAAAAGTTAACCTTTTTATTGTAGGACATGAGAGACTAAATGGCCATTTTTTTTTTTAAAGCTATGGGCCATTTTAATAAATTATTTCTGTTGGAAGCTGACCACTGACTTAAGACAATCTCTTTTGTTTTGGGCCTAATTATTATATTCAAATGTTAATCTATGGAAATCTTAAGATGATAAACATTTTTGGACAGGCCAATAAACCATTATTATATGCTCTCCTGAAAAATGTGTGTTTATTTACAGATGTTTAAATGACATCTCTATTCAAAAAAATGTCTTCAATACTTCCAGGTATGACAGTAACCCACCAACAACATCTGATTCGGACTCTGATTCTGACTATAGTGGAGGCAGTAGTGATGGACAGGACGTTGGGTCGGATGCGGAGGAGAGGCGAAAAGTTAGAGAGGAAAAGAGAAAAGAAAAGGAACAGAAGAAGAAGGAGAAAGAGGAGAAAAAGAAAGAACAGAAAGCGAAGACAGCTAAGACAGTTGTGAGTTTTAAAAAGCAACAACACATTTCATCCATGCTTACTTCTTCTCTTTACTCTAATCAAATAAAGCAGAGTTCAAATATTTGTTTGAAAAATATTTGATTCAGCAGCACAGAGATTAATAAATTTTCAAATGTGATTACGGTTAAAATATCAGTAAATGCATTGACAGTAATTTATTGTTGTAATTATTTTGAACTCGTCTGAGTTCAGAATTATGAATTAATTAATTTTTATTTGTGAGATAGATTTCTGATTAGGTTTTATAGATGAGTTTATTTTATTTTATCTATTTTAAAAAAAATAAGATTTGTTAAGATATATCTAAAAATGGAGTCTTATTAATTTATTCTAGAAAGAGAGTGCTCCTCGTAAGAGAAAGAGTGGAAAGGGCAAAGATAAGGATCCAAATAGACCAAAGCGTCCACAGTCCGCCTACTTCATTTGGCTTAACGAGCACAGAGAGCAGATTAAAGAAGAAAATCCTGGCATATCTGTCACAGATCTCTCAAAGAGAGCTGGGGAAATGTGGAAAGAGGTCACTGATAAAACTGTAAGTCAAACACTTCTGCCAGAAATTTTTTTATATTTGTAATGATATGTATGGATTATATCACAAATTAACAGCATGATTTTGTGTGTAGGTCTGCTTCATAGAAAGTCTCAATTCACATTCATAAGAAAATAAAATGTTCAGTTGCTTCAATTTTTTTGAAATTGAAGAAGAAAAAATGCTAGAAACGTGTAAGTGATGTCGCTTTATATCTTCTGTTTGATAAAAAAAAAAAAAAATATCTGGAAAGATGACACCAGAACATGATTTTGGGGATCTCGTTAAAATCAGTGGAATAAATGTCTTTGGACTCATTCTCCATATAGTTGACCCCGAATACAATGAAAGTGATTTCTTCATGTGATGACTAGTCTCCAAAATTTGTCAATTAGTGTGTGGATATTTATATACAACACATGTAGTAAATGATTCTTTATTTTATCTACTTTGAATTGATTAGGAGTGGGATGAAAAGGCTAAAGAGGCCAAAGCTGAGTACCAGAAGGCTATGGAAGAATACAACAAAAATAAGCCATCTGATAGTGAAGGTGATGAGGAAGACGACTCCAAACCTTCAGCCACAAAATCATCAAAATCAAAACCCAAACATTCACCCGTGAAAAAGAAAGTAAGAGGATTTCTATGATTAGGAAAGTTTAATCTCTTATGGTTCAGTGTATTTTCTAATTTCAATACTTTAGTTTAGATTACCCTTTTTATGCATTGGAAATTTGTGTCTTTGACATAAATTCAGAATGAATGCATTCATTGAAATATTATTTTTGTACTTAGGCAGACTCAACAACTAGTGGTGGGGGTGGTGGAGGAGCAGGCTTCAAGAGTAAAGAGTACATCTCCAGCTCTGGCAGTGACTCTAGCAGTTCAGAAGGCAGCGATAAGCCTCTCAAGAAGATAGCTAAGAAGAGCAAGAAGAATGAGAGTCCAGCAAAATCAGAGGTGGAGTCGGAAAAATCCGTGAAGGGCTCAGATGTTGAATCTGAGAATGAAAACCAAGCCAGCGAAGAGGTTCGTTATTCAATCTGTATCTTTTACAAACCTTGTTTCCACATATTAATGGTAGTCCTTTTTAATATCTATTTCCCTTTAATTTTATTTTTGTTAAACCCAAATAATCTGTGCTTGTGTATTTCCAGGAAAAGAAAGAAGGTTCTGCATCTCCTGCGTCAGGATCACCAGCTTCATCAGCCAAAGAAGAGTCTGGTTCAGGCTCTGACTAATGAGCCAAAGATCAAGCCTTCAAATGTTTATCATTAATTTTATATATATATATATATATATATATATATATATANTATATATATATATATATATATATATATATATATAACTTTTGACTTGCCGAATTTCACTTAAGGAAAATCCCCCAATCAATGGTTGTTTAAAACAAATAGTTAGGATTGATTTAATTGTCTGCAAGATGGATATCGTAATACAAACTCAAACAGAGACAACAAAAAATTGTATCATTTTATATTTAGTGAGTCAAATAAAAACTAGTTTCTAATTGGTTTAATTAGAGCTGTGCCACAATGAGTTTTAACATATACTCTTAGATATGCATCCCATCTGTATCCTTCAACTGATCAACTGTATGAGAGAATCAAGTTGTCTGTGAATGAACCACATAGTTTTAAAAGTGGTCAGTGACTCCAAAAAATATTGAGAAACTTTGTTCTGTAGAATCTGTTAACAATGAACTATTACTGAAAGACTGTAAAACTTAAGTTGTTTCTATTTAAAGAGTAAATTGAATAAAGTTATATATTATTTTCTCAAACATGTTTTTTTATTTATTAGAATTAAGAGCTAATTGCCAACTTATGGAAATTTAGTTGAAATACAGGGTTTTTTTTTTTGGTAGGGGGATATCTGTTAAATCCTTGCTTGTGTTGGTCTTGATATGACTGAAACCAACTACTTCATGGTTTGATTAAATTATTAATTAGGCCTTCCTTGCTTGATTTATTGTTTTTGATTCTTCCACACTAAATATTGTCTCCAGATAAACATATCCCTCACATTTGTCATTCTGCATACACCGCTATCCGTCAGATCAGCTCCATCCGCCACTACCTCACAGTTAGCGCAAGAAAAACTCTTAGTCTATGCTCTTTTTTTCTCTCTTCTTGACTATTGCAACTTTCTTCTGTCAAGTTCACCAAAACACTTCATAGAAAAACTGCAGAAAGTTCAAAACTCAGCTGCTAGGCTAGTTCTAAAAGCAAAAAAACGTGATCACGTCACTCCACTACTCCACTCACTTCATTGGCTCCCTATACAGGAACGGATTGATTACAAGCTGTCAGTTCTCTGTCACAACTTTTTTTCGGATTCCTGCCCTTCCTATCTAATCGAACTTCTTTCTGTCTATTCACCCCTTCGACAGCTTCGCTCCTCCGCAGACACACATATTCTGTCCGTTCCCAAGACACGCACTAAAACACATGGCGAACGATCTTTCTCTTTCTGCGCCCCCAAACAATGGAATTCTTTGCCACTACACATCCACAATATACCAACCACCCAGGCCTTCAACACTGCACTCAAAACTCATCTCTTTAAACTTTACTACCGTGTACTCTGACTGATTCCCCCCTCTGACTGATAAACGATGCTGCCGTCCATGATTTGCCATGTAAAAGTTCTGGGGTAAGAGGGGTGAATATACTTTTGTTTTATTGTTACACAGCTGTTCTTTATTGCATAAATGTCTTTTATTTTAATGTCACAATTCTGTCTTTTGCTAATATTTTTATGTAAAGTGCAGTGAGCTCAGACCTGGGCTTGGGTACCGCGCTATATAAGACCTCTAATAATAATAATAATAATATTTTGTAAATTCATATGAGAATATATAGCAATACATATTTTATGTTTTTAAAAAAATATATTCTTCAATTAAATGCTGTTTAATTCATTTACATGCACATCCTTGTATGAAGAAAAAAAAAGCAACTACAAGTCAAATTGTATGAATATCAATATTTTTGAAAAGCTGAATTTTTAATCTTTAAAAATTTAACAAAAAAAATATAAAAAGGAAGGAACAAAAATTAAATTATGAAAGTCAAAGAAGGAAAATAAATGAATAGGAAAAAATAATTAAATTATTGAAGACAAAAGTCATGATGTGTAATAGGATATATTATTGGCTTTCAAAAGAAAGACCAAGAAATAAATAAATGTGGAGAATATTGCAGATATACCAGTTCAGTACTAAAGCACTAAATTAACAAATTGTCTAAGGCTCCTTTTACAGAATAAATAGTTAACTACAGCTAAGAAAATATTTTCCATCAGAATAATTGGATTGGAACTGTTCTGTGGTTATATTTGTTGGCCTAATGAGAATCTAAATTATTCTCACTTAATGCAATAAAATAAATTTGATGTACATTATAAATGAGTAATGTATGTAACTTTAATTATTTAATGTTCATCTATGTTAACCATATACTGGTATAAAAGAAATTTATAAACGGAATTCATTTTTTGAGCAAAGGTGAACTACTAGCTATTTTGCAAATAGCACTTGCATAACACAAAAATCACAGGGAAAATAAGATAACCTAATCACAGATTGTTCAACCATTTCCAACTTTTGCTTGCACTATTACTTTATATTGTTTTCCTTAAAGGTAAACAAACATGAGATTTATTCAGAATCTGGCATATTTTCTATCTAATAATAATATTTGAAAACTTCATTTTCAGTCACATGGTAAAGACTTTCAGACGCCATGGCAACTGGGTGCCATGTATTTGTCTAAACCTGCTTTTCCTCAATATATAATATGAGCTCAATCATAAGACTTAAATTTTTTTTAAATTTAATTTCATGGAAATGGAGGCATCTTTTACTTTTAGACAGAATATATGAAAACTAATAGCCAATTGAGAAGTCAAATCTTAGAGTGCATATGCCAAAAATTTTGAACAATTAAAACAAAATGGAAGAAAAAAATGTTTTCACAATATTTATACCAGTTAAAAAGTTCATAACTTTAACTAGTCAAAGAAATGCTATTTATAATATAAAGCTCAAATTTACAAAACTTCAGATTACAACTGATGACACATTTTTAGTATGGTAAGAGAAAATAATTGGTCATCCTAAACAGAATTTTAAAGAACTACATTTATTATTAAAGTTTTTAAATGACAATGTTGACTTAAATTCTAAAAAGGAAGTGATGACCAGTTGTCACCATCCTGCATGCTTTTTGAAAATAAACTAAACATTAGTAAGTCTCCTCATCTTTGAAAAATGTTGAAAAAACATGAATATCATATCAACATAAAAATCTATTATAATCTCATAGGTGTCACCCAACATTGCTTCAGCAAAATGAAACTGAGCAAGGTTCTGGTGGCAAGAGTCGTTGAACACAAATGGAAGATTGGAGTGAGTTTCACATTTATAAATAATACAAAACTTACTTGCACTGTTAACAATGATAAAAAGATTTACAGTTATTGGAATGAATGAAGTGTTCAAAGCTAACCAGTAAGCAACTGTATAAGATAATTATTAATTATAATGATCCCAAAACCATTCGATTATATTCTTAATAACATGATCTGGTGTTTGAACCAAAACATTTACACTATATTCATAATATTATTTACAGATCAAAAGAGATCTCATTGTTTGTATACATATTATATAGAGATATGTGGATATTCCAACTCATATGCAAAAAAATTCCAATTTATAACAATATGTCATTACGGATGTAACAATGTATCAACTGAAACAGAGCTGAAAGATTATGGCAACACAACAGCACCCAGACCTCTGTAGTTGGCTTTCTTCTAGTTGACTATGATGCTTCACCAGTATTGAGGCCATATTGATTGAGCAAAGATTCTATTAAATCAATGTTGTCACTCAAGTTAGGGAGGTAGAGATCTATGTCAGAAAACAGCTGGGGACAACAAAAAAGATGTTATTTGAGAACAATATTCCTTTTTACTATCACTCATGGACATTGTAAGGTTTTTAAGTACCGTACCGGTACTAAACTATCCTGGGCAGAAAAAAAAAAAAAGCAGCAATACCCAATGGCCCAGCTTGCCATTTGTTTTATCTCAATGTTTATTTGATTTAATGTAAGTGAAACTTAAAAAAATGTGTGAGATAAGGATTGGCAAAGTAGGATTCAAGCACCCCCTCCAGAAGTCCAACATTTGCTGAATTGGCCACCACACCACGGGATCATGGGTATCAGCTGCTGTGCATAAGTAAGAATCAAACTACTGGCTACATATATCATTCAGTGTGGTTAAATTCATGTCATTTTATCTGCAAATGGGGTTTTAATGATCTTACAACTGGAAAGCACATTTTAGTCAAAAGCACATGTTACAAAATTGATTATAAAAACAAGGGATGTTAATTTTATTAAGACAACATGTGTAAAGATAAAAGTAATATAGACTGGAGGACACAAAATTAAACTTAACAGCGGTTTACCATTTCTAAGGTGGCCTCTTCATTTAGCAACAAAGCTTTGAGAAAATCTTTTCGATAAGGCACCAAGTGAGTGAGTTTCTGAAACAGATGATCATTAAATTATCAAATCTTATGTCTCACAAATTCTGTGTTGCCTTGATGATATAGATATTTTTTTTTAATGTATATATTAGTTCATAAATATACATAAAGTAATCTTCTAACGCATCTTGCTCCTCCTCCTTTGTCTTGCTGTCTCATTAAGTGGTATACTGTTAACTTTTGAATTTTTAATATATTTCATACCTCTAAAAGGGGAAATATATTATTTTTAAAACTAACATCAAAATAAACTTGAATGAAAATAAAAAGTTATTTTTTTGTATTAAATATTTTTTTTTGAAGAATGCAGATGCTTTGTATATTAATAATGAATAAAGCTGCAAATCATGATCATAAATAATTAATTCTTTAAAAAATAGATGACAATTTCAAAGCCAACTCACAGTGAACATAAATCTGGATAACTTGCCATGATATTGTTTCAGAGTCGTCTCATAGGCTTTAAGCACTGTTTGCCTAAGGGTTACATCTTCAACATTTTTCTGATAGTCTGAAGACAAGTTCAAGATGAATACTCTGAGAAACTCAAGGCTTCTAGGAAGGAAAAATTAAAGGCATATAATTTAAAGCTAAAGAATGAAAAATGAAGCAAACATAATACTGAACCAAATAAGAAAAGAGAAGTAAGACAGTTTTAAAAAAGTATGCTCAAAATATTTATATTCAAATTAAAATAATGAAATTAAAGATTCTATACTAATATTTATATAGGCCTTATCCTTAAACTTGTCCGTAAGCAGATAGTTGGTCATGGGGTTGGTCATTTTAGTGTCAGTATCAAAATTGTTCACATGAAGAATAAACTTGCACACACCTTTTTAACCATATCAACCCAATAACAGCACTTTCCAAAGGTTTTTGGTTTGCATGATCCTCCAGTATTGCATTCAGGGTAACATACCGAGCTGTGTTGGTCTTAAAGCGGTCATCAATTCTCTACAAAAAAAATTAAAATATATATTTTTGAGGATTTGACAACTATTTAAATTAAATTTAAGATGATCTTTACATAATTGAACAGTATTATGCAGTGGGGCACTACTATATATTTTCTCATACATACAGTACTGTTTAAATTATATATTAACACTAAAGTAATAAATTAATTTTTAAGAAACCCACAAAATAGCATTATTTATACGAAGTGGAAAAAAAAAAAGAACTGTACAAATTATGATCTAAGAAATAGAAATGCAGAGTAAAATATATTTCAAATTCGGTGATCTCTTTTTTTGCATTTAATTAGAATTAGGCTGACACTTAGTGATTTCACACTTACCTTTATATTTCCTATCATGTCTCGTTTAGCTATAGAAAACTGTGATCCTAAGCGGTCTGAAACAAATAAGTAAGATAAATGTCATTATCTATAGTATTAATCTGTCAGTTGGTTTCTCCATGGGAACATATTCAATAAACTTACAGCCCTGTGTGCTTTAATACTTTTCAGTATCTGTGCCGATTTAATGGCTTTAGAAGTAATTTTACACGTCAAGAGAATCAAATATCTCAAGAATTGGAAGTTTTTATTTGTATTTGATAATAAACCATTGTGGTTGTTAAAATTACTTTTGTTTGTTGCCCAGGTATTTTATTAAAATTTCTATTCTTAGTATGTAGTCCTTTTTTATTTATGGAGATAATATTTATAAATTAAGTAAGTAAGTAGATAAGATGGGAGTGGTAGGAGATGAAGACAAGGGTGGGTGGGGATTAAATGCCAGGGGATAAGAGGGTGAGATTTTGGAAAAAGTTGTAGTAACAGTTGAAAATGATGGCTTTAATTTTGGGTTGGGGTGGGGGGGGGGGGGGGGGATAAATGAGGCGTGGCTTGTGATTTATATTATGAAAGTATCTGTGAGTCAATTCTAGTACCAATATACATCAAGTCATTATAGCCCAATCAGTGATTAAATAGGAAACAGTTTAGATTTTTTTTCCTGCCAAAATTATATAAATTTACAGGGCGTACCTAATACTGTGGTCAAATCAGTGCAGGCTTGGAGAAATCGCTGTGTGTCTAAGGTCCTTTCAGATTCAATAGGTTTAAACTTTGCTATAGTACCGAAAGTAGTTTTGTCACTAAATAGATGCTTTTCAGCATCGCTAGATCCAAGATCTTTATTCTCTGACATGACTTTTATGGCTGTCATCCAAAGAATATTGAACCTAAAATAAAAAACTAAATTTAAAAATTATATTTAAATATCCCTCAAGGCTTCATAAAACCATGGATCAGCAATACCAGAAGCAAATGATATTGTGATCTAACTCTAAATACAATGAAGTTACAGAATGAGTTGTAGGAGTTTTTTGGGATAATTATATTCAGAGTTTAATACATGGGAGAGGAAAATCCTCAGGCAAATACATGGTCCAGTGTAATACAATGATCAAGATGTATAGAGAATTTGTACAAACCAAGAGTCATATCTATTGTTTGAAGACCCCACCCATCATAGTTACAACATTTAAAAAGTCAGACTTTGCTGGACAGGACATCTTGAGAGGATGGATGCCAGATATTAGCAAAATATCAGCAAAATTGATCTGCAGGCAAAAAACCTAGGGGCAGATGGCTCACCAGTCAACCAAGACTGAGATGGATAGAAAAATTGAGAAGGAATTATATCAGCTGTGGGTTCCGAGAATTCCGGCATAAATCCAGGGTTATAGATCGATACAAATGGAAAGATGTTGTAGAGCAGGCCTGGGCCCTACATGGGCTGTAGTGACACTGATGATGATTACCAAGAAAAAAACTCTGCAGTTGGCCAAAAATGCCACCCCCTTATAAAGCTCCTCCGCAGCCCCTTCCTACGCCACAAGAATGTCTTTTTCTTGGCTGTTCTGGGTCACCTCATAGTAGGCAATAGGGGTTTAAGTGCTTTGTGAAGGGTCAGCTATACTATAATTTAATAGGAAGGACTAAATTGGTTAGCGGAAAAGAAAAGAATGACAAGACAATTAAATGGACATTTCAGCTAGATACCTTCTTCGGGAATGTTAGGAAATGTAAGTTAGCATGTTTAGTTTAGTTAACTTTAAATAAAGTCCAAGGTGAGCCTACCCAAATTAGTAAAAATTTGATCAAATCCCATCAAAACTAAAACATCCAAGCCAATATCCTTAAAAAAGTATTTTTTGGGTATTTATCATGCAGCCCAACTTCAAGTATGGTTCTTAATTATCAATGACTTATTAATAGTCATAGTTACTCATAGTCTGAGTCCAAATAAAAATGTAATTAATAAGTAATAACTATTTAAAATTTACTATTTTATTACTATTCACTGACTTATTAATAGATCTTATAAAATGAATTAAAGTGGTCCTACCTTTGATATTGAAGTAATTTATTAATATTATTTGTAGAAACATAATCACCCCTAGCGCCTTGAGCCTTGAGTGTTTTTAAAAGAAAAGTCAATAACTCATAATAACTGGTAATTACCTTGCCCTATAATCGAATATAGGCATAGGACTTATATCCTATCATGAGGACCATTATAATTATTTTGTTCATACACTTTTGTGTTTTTCTAATTTACACCAGGGCTACCAGATCTTGGGAAATTTCACAAGAACTTGGGAATTCACAACCGCCTTTTGGTTCTCACCTGGGGAATAGTCAATTACTGTAAGGTGTTCTTTTGCATTACGGTAATTTAAAAACTTAATTCTTTTAAAATTAATTTTGTTTAACCTCTCTAATAGTATTTTTTAATAACATTGGGAACATTTTTGACCAAATCTTGCGAATTTTTAAAAAAGTGTATATGTATGGATATGGTAGCCCTGATCTAAATTATTCAACCTACTTTGCGAATAATAGAAGTGTAAAAATGCTAACACTAACTCATTCGTATGTTTGTGAACTGTAGAAATAACTAAAATGTATAAACCTTAAAACAAGAGGGTAATCCCTTATTTAGTGCAATAAATTAATAACTTCCTATTTACCTGAAATTAAGGATATTATTCATTTTTATTATTTTTTGTTTGTTTTAAAAATCAGTCGTTCGATTAGTTTAATTTTGGTTAGTTGTAGTAGTGGGTCTACATGTCCTGCGTTCAGTAATCCGGTCACTACAGCGGGGACACACCTCTAAGGTTATGAGGCATTAACAATCAGAGAAATCTGTCCAGAAGTGCCACCGTAGAAAAACCGATACACCACGCCTATATAAACAGTAGCGTGGCAAGGTCGAGGAGACCATGTCACTCCCGCTATGCTGGTGTTTCTCCATTATGTCAATGTATCAAAGAATTACTCCGTCCTCGTTATCAGCTGACCAGAACCCCCCCCCCCCCCCCCCCCCCCCGGGCCACGCGCGAAAGATGTGAAGCGCGAGACTCGTCCAACATCAGAGAGCGACCAATGTCCAAGCGTAGGTTGACAGTAGGTTGACGTGTTACGTGTCCTCGTCGTGAGCGGACCAAGAAAACGTTCTGAGTGGACCAGGGAATATGTTACGGGGTGTAAACCAGAGACGTGGCGGCTGCACGCGATCTTGACGTACATTAACAGCTAGAGAAGAAGAAGAATGTGTTAGTGGCGAAAGGAGGGTAGAGGCCGCCCGAGGCGGGACGATTATTTTGCCGCACCTCCTTCCACGAAAAAAAAACCTCTCCAGCCGGCCGCCCCTTTATGTAAAAAAAAAAGGTCCGCCTGGGGTATAGCGTACCATCCGCAGCCCACCTCCTACGCAAGTGGAATTACTTTTTCTTGGCAGTTGTGCGTCATCTCACTGTAGGCAATAAATTCATTTTCTTTAAAAATATATTATAAATTCATCTTGCTGTCCTTTTGGATTCCCATACTTTTTTTTTCGCTCATTTCCTTTTACAGTAATCCGCATAGTCTCCAAAATCCCAAAGTACGTACGCAATCAGTGGATGAATCCATGTAATACGGATTTAGACGCTTTAATTTTGTCACAATCTAGTGACTTTTCGTTCTTTATAATAAAATCGTTATTTCACTGGCCTGGCAGTTCGCATTGTAAATTTCTCCATGCACCTGTGAAACTCCGCGAACTGGAAAGGGTGTTAAGCTATGTGCGATCAAGAGAGGTTGACAAAATTAATGCACATTGATGCAATGTGTCGACCTCCTTTATGAACATTTGAAAATACAAATTTGACAGAGTTCGCTCGAGTTAGTATTATATCGGAACTCATTAAAATAAAAAGAACAGGGTGTCACTAAAACAGGTTGCAACCATAGCAGTTGGCCACCAGAAAGAGCAGGTTCTATCAGAGTAGGTTTCAATCAGAACAGGATGTAACTGAAAAGGATTCAAACAGGACAGGGTGCCACCAGAAAAGAGTTGGTAATTTCCCCAAACCTCTTATTGAAGCACATGCATATTTATGTATCTTTTGTATGGTATCTTGGCTTAGACCTAAGGTGAAAGTGAAAAGCTATCTCGAAAAAAAAAAAAGAAAGGATAATGATGACTGAGTACTTTTATAGCTCTTGTGTCCATGCTATTTTAGCATGCTCACAGCGCTCTGATGTCCTAAAATCAATTTAAAGAAAAAAGTATTTAAATGGTTCTTAAATGACTTTTTATCATTTTCAATGTCCCTCAAAGATTGGGGCAAACTATTCCACGATTTAGGTGGAATAGCTTAAAAAGAGCGCACGTATGACTCCTCTGTGTCCATCAACACTGGTAACTCTCAAGGACTGTGTTGAAGAGCGCAGGTTCTGTATCGATACATGTTTAGATATCAGTTTTTACGAGATACATGCAGGTGCAGATGACGATAGTCGATAAGTGTGGATTGGCTAGGCCAGTGGTCGGCATATCACGGCTCGCGAGTGTGGCTCGGCCAGCCGGCCATTAATTAATTATTAATAGGTTTGGACTCCTTGGTCGAATTAAAACTCTAAAAAAAAAATAATAAATAAAAAAAACTATGCCAAAAACCGTATGTAGACGAACAAACTATCATATTTACAATTAACTTCAAACAATTATTTTGATTTTTTAAATGAATTTAATCAGAGAACAGCAAAATAAAAGTGTCTGAGTAATCAGACTAAATCAGCTTTCGATGAGTTATTCTTCGTTTTCGTTATTGAATAATTGTTTGTGATGTTTTCGCTGATTTATGTTTTCGAACATTCTTTTGCGGTTGCGCACTCAGTTTGTTGTCACTCGAGACAGAATTTGAGTATGGATTAGTGTCTAGGCTTGAATTTTATCTATTATTAATAATAGTTACTATCAGCGTATTTACTATTTACGATTTCTTATCGTTAATGTGTTTTATTTGAGAGCACAGGTATAAATACTTGGGTAAAGGGTTATTATTTACCAGGATAAGAAATAATTAGTAAAGTAGAGTCAAGAAGACTAACTAACTCAACTAACTGAAACTAATATTAATATTATTATTATTCTATCAGTATCAGTATCACTGATAATAATAAATATATAATATACTGAGATCAGATAGGATACTGCTGATTAACTTTTTGACTGACTATGACTATGTAATTGTAATGTTTATTTGTAAATGTGTTGATTAATCACAAGAAAACTAGTTTGTTTTTTAAATGAAATCCGAAATGTTTTAATTGACAATTTGTAAGAAGTAGAATTAGTGTTGATTAATCACAAGAAAACGAGGCTAAACAATATGAATCACAGGATGAAAGCCAAATATAATATTAATGACATGATCCTGATTATTCCTCCTGAAAAATACTAGTTTTGTCATAATTCCCTTAGCTTCAAGTAGGCCTACATACAAAAGTAAAAGATGCAATTAGAAAATTGTAAAATGCAGAGGATAAAAAGTAAAAGAAATATTTTTGAATGGCTTGAAAGTTAAGTTATTTTTGGTGTACACATTTTTAATAATCCCTTAGTCTTTAATTGTTATCAGAATGGTATGCTCTTAAACATCTATTTAATTTATGGGAAGGTATTCGGTAAGCTTTGAGTCTTGACTCTTCTTTGGTGCACACATTTTAAATAAAACTTTATTCTATGTTACCATGTTCTCAGAACAGTGTGGTTTCAAAAAATGTTTGAAATAGTTTTTTCAACAAAAGATTAGCTGTTTATTGCAATAGTATTATTTAAAATACAGAAATACTTATTGTAAAATGAGAAAATATGTATGTTTGTACTATATATGCTTCTACATGGTTTAATGGTTCATGATCAAACTTGGGATACATAGTTATAACACTTCATTATCCAGAAGGAAATGCTGATGAGGCTTGATTTTTAAATAAAACATATCCTGTTCAGGGTTTGGGGCTCAAATTTAGTGGTTTTTTTCTTATATGAGCTACACAAATAAAATTACAGTTAATGGCTAACTCTAGAATTAAATTGGTACAAATGCGTTAGAAAGTCTATTTTACAAAATATTCACCACTGTCAGCACTGTCAGGGCCAGTACATTAATTTCATTTTCCCTTACATTTGCTATATTTATTTTATTTATTTATTTAGGAATTTTTATATAGCGCTTACCTTAAAGCTCTAAGCGCTTTACAATTATTAATAACATGTAAACTAACTAAAATAAAAATGAGACATTAAAATAGTAACTACTATACTATATAAACAATTAAAATGGCTATAAAACGAGGAAACGTTCAACTGATTTTAATGGAACAACTTCTAAATTTAACTTTACTACTTAACAGAAGAAAATTTATAGGGCTCCTACCTTAGTGCTAATTAAAATATCACATTATTGAACAAGTCCTCACCCTGGCCTTTATTTTAACTGTAAAGGAAAATGTCTAGAGTTACAGTTTTTTTAATATGTTTTATTATTGAAATCTTGATGACACAGAATTTTTCTTGATGACTTGTTTTACAAGTCATTTGAAGATTTAAAAATAAAATATAGAATTTGCCAGCATGTTCTAAATAGTTACAGATAAAGATTATGAAAATGGGATCTTAAAGTTTATGGACATTTTAGTTTAGTTTTATAGATTCCTTGGAATTTCCTCGGTATTTGTGAATTATTTCTTTTATACATTTTTTAAAGTTTCTATCTTATTCTAGAACATAGATTTAAAGATATTTTTAAAGTATCTAGAAAGGTCCAAATGAGTGTAGAAGGTTTTACAATGTATTTCCTTTACAATAGCCAAAGCTATACATGAATGCTTAGGTTACAATGCAAGCATTTCCGTAAATTGTTGAATCTTGGCCAAACTTGGTAAACATACCTTTTCATAATCCCTTTAAAATATTGATGTATTTCAAACTAATACTATCCACAACCTTTTGTCTTGACTAAGTCTTGCCATTGCAACAAAATAGGAAAGGACAACAGAGTGAGGCTGATGAATTTTGCAACTTGCCCTCACTTTAAAAATAAAAAATGCAACGCAAGTCAAGACTACTACTCAAGTCTTGGTAATCTTGGCATGTATAGGACAAACAATGTATCCCAAAATAAATAGGACTAGATTTTTTTTCATGAAAATCATTTTGGCTTTTTTTTCCCTCTACCAATGCTGTGGGTCGAGTTACTAAATAATTAAACAGAAAAATTATAGGTCTTATTTGAGGACAAATATATTTTTTACAACTAAATATTTTTTTCTTAACTATCTTTATGATTAAGAATTGTAATTTAAAACAGATTCCATATGAAATAAAAGAATTGTGGCTCACTGCAAAGATAATGGCGCTACCCACAATGTCCGGATACTGGTCATCTCGTAAAAATATGTATGAACACGCCATTGTCAGGCATAGAAACCATGAAGACAATTTGCGGAGTCAGTGGACTGAAACTGCAAACTATTTCAAAAGCTCTGATCTTTGGGCCGCAAAGCAGAATGCATGGTCATCCAATCAAGGATTTCAAGACAGGTTAATTCATTATGTTTAAAAAAAACAGTATTATTTGTCTGTTGTTTTAACATTAAAAGTATCAGAGGCATGTAACTTTTAAAAAAATGCAATGTCAAACTATCAGATCTAAAAACGTAAGAGATCATTGCCATGAATATTTAAAATTCATTTTAAGTAAAAGCAAAAATAATTAAAACTTTTTAATTAATGTTGTGTTATTAGTGTTCTAAGTTATGTATATCCCTTGAAGCTGCTTTTAAGATAAGAAATTTAAAAAAAAAATTTCACTTAACTTGACAATCACTTAAGCCTATGGAACATAAAGGCCTAAACTCAATATTTTATAACAAGAAACACCCCGCCAAGCAATGGCGGCGGCAATGCATGAACTTCCCATCTACTAAAGCTACTTGACAAAACATGCATTCAAGAAACACACTTTATAAGAATCCCAAGTTAATGCTAACTTCTGGGAATTTTATTTTGCATTCCTTTTGAACACAGAGTTAAAGCCATACATGCATACATACCTAGAGAATTATTATTTGTAATGGTAATGATGACCACTCATTATTAGTGCAAAAAGAGTGACAAATGTAATTGATAAAAACTTTTTAAATATAAACCTAATGGCTGTAAATACTGATGTTTTTGGCACAAACCTAACTTTTTGAATGGTTACTTTTGTTTTTAAAAAAATCATACTGCTTGGTGTATTAAAAAAAATTCTTTTTAACTTTCATCAGCATGGATGCTTATAAAGAATCTAAAAGCCAAGACTTAAAATCGATGAAGCTTAAGCAACGTAAAGACAGACTGGCTTTATTGTTATCAGAGGACACTAAAAATTATGCGGTATGTTAATGTGTATTAAAGGGAATGTCAGTTTTCAGCATTAGATATTTAAAAAAAATTTTTTTTTTTCGTTTTCTTGTTAAGGTTTACTTTTTCTGGGTACTTTCTACAAAGAATATGTTGGGTGAATATAATTCTCTGTAGACCAGTAGAGCCCCCAAGAGTTTGTGATGCCAGGGGCAGTCATTGACCTTGCTGGCCCCATTTCACGAAAATGAAAATGCACAACATACAATATGCATTAATGTCATTTAAACTACATGTATATGAAGTTGGCAGAAAATGAGGCCCACTGTGCTGTAGAAAAGACAGGCTTAGTTACCAGCATTGCAGAAGAAAAATACATTCAGTGGGAGAAAAATCAATCTTAGTTTAAGGGAACAACCTCTGTGTTAAAGGGTGAGGTGTGTTTTTGTAAAACATCTCATAAAGTCAACAATATGCCTGCATTTCCACTATGGAGATGATGAAACAAAGGTAACAAGTTTGTTTTTTTAAAGTGATTATTCATGAGGTATATTGCTTGCTTCCAGCACACTGCTAACTTTATTTGAATGTAGAGTTAATAATTATTAATAGCCCATATTTGTTTTAATGATAGCTAAATACTATAATCACCTTCTCCTTCTATTGCAGGGGCCTGCTACTCTTTAGCCTTTATCATGTAGCTCTTGGGTACCACTAGTTACTAGATCGAAACTTAATATTTGGCTCTTTCCCATGAAAAGCATCCTGACCACTGTACCATACTATCTATTGTAACAGTGTACACTAATTATTTGAGCTATAACAAAACTATTTTTATCAGGCTGAACTGAAAGGACTGTCCAAGCCTAACTTTGAAAGACTGGAAGAAATGAGAGCCAAAACTGAAGGTCTCAAAAGTGCCAGAGAGGAAAAAAGACAGAAGGTAGAAGTTATTTCTTTGTAACACAATACAACATATTGGTAAATTTCTGATGAATATAAATGTATTGAAAAAAATAACTAAAATTTCTTCTTTAAGTTATTTGACATTTGCAAATAAAAAAGACAGATTTAAAACTTTAAAAAAAAACTGCCAGCTATATTTAACATTACTCAAAGCTAATTTTCTTGTATTATTTAAGTATTATTTCTAACTCCTCTTACAGCAGTTCATTTGGTATAATTGGTTTTAACTTTGAGTATATCTGGTAAAATCTTAAATCCATTAAGATTTAACCAATCCATTAAGATTTAGCCAATCCATTAAGATTTAACAAATCCATTGAGATTTAGCCAATCCATTAAGATTTAGCCAATCCATTAAGATTTAGTGAATCCATTAAGATTTAGCCAAATATTTTATCCAAACTGCAGCTGGCTGAGGACAAGTTGTACCAGCACTGGAGAGAAAACAATCCGGACCTAAGAAAGGCAGAGTCGAATTTACTCCAAGAACATGTTGTTGGAGAATGGGGAGACCAGATAGAGGAGAAAGAAGAAGTTAGTGTATCTTTAATACAACTCATGTTGATGAGTTAGAGAAGCAAATATTGCCTCATGATTTTTGGTCATTTCAATATTTAATTTTTTAAAATCCTTGCTACTTTTGTTAAAATTTTACAAGCTGGTCAATTTCCTGGAAGGAATCTTTTCAAAATGACTCATTTAAGCACTACAAAGTATCGTTTATTTCATCAGTTTAAATAATTGCAACAGGAATATTGTTGTGGCTGTCATTATAATTTTTTACCTATGAAAAGTCTGTTTGTACCAATACCAGCATACACTGTTTACAGGGTAACATTCAGACACAGTACAGATTGTGGTTATCCTAAAATATGGGCTATAAGATTGGTGGTCATTGATGTTTTAAAAAATGGAATTATTTGATGGTTTTTTATTTTAAATAAAGACACCTTAGTAATTTTCTGTTTTATCACATGGAATTTTTGTCTAGCATTCTGGATCAATGATGATTAAAAGAACCGAGTGAATCACTGTTTTACCAGAGATCAAATACTTTCTCATAAGCAAAAATTAAGAGAATCTCAGAATTGATCAAAGCTATGATGTTGTCATTTGATCTAACTTGTATTAAACTTTATTTATTATGGCAGCAAACTCACTGCTAAAAAATTAGTGTTTTGCCAGAGGTTTCTATTTATGGCATCCAAATCTTACATAATCACAGAGACTAGAATCAGCAAGACAAGAAAAAATTGCTTTTGAAAAGCAGATGGAGAAAGAAAGATTAGATGCCATCAAGTTGGAAAGGCAGAAAGAAGAAAAACGACTAAAGGAAGAGAGGTCTATGAAAGATATGCTCAGACAACAGATGCTTGAGTTTAAGGCCAGAGAAGAAGAGGTGAGCCGATTTCTCGGTGTCAAGATTTCTGTAACAAAGAAATAAATTAAATGTGCTTAATTTTTTATGTTTTACAAATCCATTACATAATAATAATTGCAGATGAAAATGCAGTGAAGTCATTATGTTAGTTTTTTGTCTGTACTATATATGAGGTTCTCCTACTTCGATTTCTTAAAATAATTTAATATATTTTGTAAGCATGAGGCACGTTTCAGGCCATATAGAAATTTAAATATATAGGCCTATATATGTGTATTCAAATTAAAGGATTTAAAAGATCTGCTTTCTTTAAATTAGTAAGCCCCTCAAATATTTGTGGGACTAAGTCAGTATAATGTGAATGAGTCAGTATAATGGAAATGAAAATTAAGATTCGAAAGGGATTTTTACTCTGTTTCTGAAATTGTTTTTTTTTTTAATTTAAAGGAGTGAGACAGCCATCAAAAGCAACGTTGGTAGTATTAAATTTATTTGCACCACATTTTGTAACTCTCTCCCTATTCAGGCCAAGGCATGGATTAAGCAACAGGAAGATTTATTGAGACAGAAATGGGAGCTAGAAAAAATAGAAGATCAACAGCGCAAGAGGGAGGAAGAGAGGAAAAAACAAGATTTAGGGTAGAACTCTCTTTTACTCAAGAAAATCTGATAAAATATAAAAATATAGTTATTTTTACAATATGCACAAGAAGGAAGAAAAATATTCAATGAAGCGGAAAGTGAACTGTGAGGCTATTTAAGGATCCTGTCAGAATATATGAAATTAAAAGGAAATAGTAAAATTTGAGTTTTCAAATTTTTAAAATATTTTAAAATAACAATTGTGACCGATGTTCAAGCTAGTTTTTTATTCCCTATCATATATTCGTTTTTTTTTCTGAAACTTCAACTTCATTAATTCAAAACATGTTTGATGCATTTTATTGAATATATGTTTCGTTTACTTATATCGTGTCTGTGACAGACGTGCTTTACTGAGACAACACAAGGCTCAGATGATGCACAAGTCTAAAGTCATCCAAGAAGAATTGGTATACAAGTTTTTAAATTATTTTTCATGTTACTGTTGAAACTACATTTCTATTTAGATTTAAAACAAAAATCAAATATAATCACAGTTACTTATATAGTCTACACTTTAAAGGAAACAATAAAAGCTTAACGGCCTCAAATACTCAAAACTATATTTTCATCTCGTACGTTCGTTAAAAAATGCACTGTTAGTTAAAATAGAAATGGGTAGGTGCTGAACAGTGCAATGTAATATTTTTTCAGGAACAAGACAGAAAATTGTTGCAGTCTCTGATAGAAAAAGAAAATGAGCAGATTTCTATGCAGTCGGCAAGAAGAGAAAAGGCCAAGGCTGATGCACATTGGATGAAGCAGGTCAGTAGAAAATAATTTTCTGATAATTTCAACTATTCATTGTTCAAGCTGATTTATTTTTTTTTGCTGTAAACTGCAAAGAACGTGATGGCCATCAACAGTTTAGCTATGAAGCCTAGAAAAAAAAGAATGTCACATTTATTTTAGAAACTGTTAACCCCTGATAAATCCATTATTTAAATAGCATCCAGTTTAACAAATTTGTAAATTTTAAATAATTTGTCTTTGTGAGGCAAGAATATTAATTTTTCACCCGTAGACAACTAAAAGAATTAATATATTACTGTTACACATTTTAAATTTTTTGAAAAATATTCAAGTAGAAAAGAAAAGCTTAAAAATGTAAAAAAATAAAATCTTTGTATTATAAACTCTTTTTTTGCAGGTCATAGAGGATCAACTGCGTTTAGAGAAAGCACGAGAGGCTGAGTTGGACATGTTATATCAGTAAGTTTTTTTGTTGTTTTTTTCGTTTAAATAAAAAAAAGGAATTAATTTTTTTTTTTTACCTGGCTGTTTAAAAAAAAATTAAATTAAAAAAACCAAAACAATATAATAACATTTTCATTCAGTTCTCTAACTTTAATGTAAGATGTGCAATTTAAAATTTAATTTCATTTTACTAGCAGTCTAACACAAAACCATGTGAGATTTTATGCTTATACTTTTAACAAAATTATTCTCACTCTAGAGATGAAGCAGCTCGTATGTGGCAGAAGAGAGCAGCAGAGTGGGAAAGAGAGCGTCAGGCTCGTCAAAAGTTAATGGCAGAGGTACGCCAATATTTACTGTTAAATAACAATGGGAAGTATGTTGTCAGTTTGTTTCAACAGCTAACTTGATCTTCTGCATAGGTTTATTTAAATTGTGAAAATATTTAAAAATTGCTTCAGTAAGGAACGATGTGCAATTTTTTAGGTAAACTTCAGATGTTTATTCATGGTGTTAACTATTCAACAAGTATTCAGTTTCAGCAACTCTATGAAACTGTTTCAAGATGTCTGATTATTGTTATACTTGTTGCCTCCAATGGTGCAGGTCCTAGAGAGCAGACAAGAGCAGATCACCCTGAAGCTGGCAGAGCTCCAGCAGCAGCAGGAGGAATCCTTGCAGCGCAGGGAGGAGCTGGTCAAAGAGATGGAGATAGCCCAGCAGATGACCAGGAGGGATGAAGAAGAGCAGAAGTTGAATAAACTTGCCACCAAGGGGGAGCTCGAAGAACAGGTGAGTTTTATCATTTAAAAAAAAAATTCTCAATTTTTTTGTTGGGATTTAATAGTTTGTTCATATTGATGTCACAAATGAGAACAACAAATAATTTTGTCAACATTTAATTGTCCTTTATACTGCTTCAATCCCAAACTTAAAAATTAATTGGTCTTTATTTATCTTTAAGTGCTAGGAAGGTGCTCCACGAGCAGGCTTTGAACATTGTTCTAAATCAATGATTCCTGCATAAGTTTGAAGTTGTAATTGTTATAATTGCTTCATAACACCAGAATTATTCTAAATAACTATGTAAATCCTATCCAGAAATTTGTTTGAAATAAGTTTTGTTGATGTAAATTTGATTGACGGAAGTTTGATCCAACGGAAATTTGATCAAACGGAAGTTTGGTTGAATTTTTTTCCAGTTCACATGATCTAATTTTGCGTCAAATTTCTTTTTGAACGCATTAATTTGTTTTACTATATAGTAAATTTGACTAAAATTTGATCGTATGAACTGAAAAAAAAATTTGACCAAACTTTCTTTCAATCAAACTTCCTTTCGACCAATCTTCCGTTCGATCAACTTCTGTCGATCAATTTTCCATCTACGAAATTTGTTTTTAAAAAAATTTCAGGTATCCTAAGTAAATATTCATTTTTACCAAAATTCTTCCTGAAGGTGGAAGTGCTTTTGCATTATTTAATTGTATTCTTAGTTGAAAAAGGGAGTTACAGTGTTGAGATATCATGTTCAGTATCTAAGATTAAAATGTGCAAGCCCCGGAGCAAGCTAATATATATTTAGCCCAATGCCCCTTCTTTACTCCTTAAAACAGGGCGTTAGGGTAAATATAGAATGTGTCCCCTGCCTCCCATGTGAGTCTGTTGGCACAACTAAAAAACAGTCAGCCACAAAACTGTAAGCAATATTAATTGTTTTGTCTTCTCTAATACTTTAAAGATCAGAGCTCGACAGCTGAAAGAGAGGCAGGAAGAACTGAACCTGCAGCTTGAACTTGATGAGGAGAGAGAGGAGGAGAAAGGTTATGAGGAACTTCTGAAACAAGAAACTGAGAGAATGAGACTAAAGGGATTTACACCTCGGGTGAGTACGGTCACAGCACAGAGCCACAGCACAGAGCCACATATTATATGCTTCATAACGCGTTTGGGGGGTGGGGGGTTGGGTGTAAGCATTCTCACAGCATTAGTCATATATGTGCTTTATAACTTGTAAGGGGAAATAAGTAATTCTTTAGTGACATTTTTTTTTATGTATATCTAATTTTAATTTATTTTCATTAAATGTAGGAAATCAACTACCATAAATGACTTTTATGAAACCTCAATTTCTAAAAATGTATTTACTGTAGGCAATAAAACAAAGAAGTGCAACATAATTATTTCTGAAATTTATATGTAAAGTGGTTTCATTAAATTTAAATTAAGAGTGACTTTGCTTATGGTCCTTAAATTTAACAGTGACTTTGCTTATGTTCCTTAAATTAAACAGTGACTTTGCTTACATCCTTAAATTTAGCAGTGATTTTGCTTACATTCCTATCACATTTTAACAAGTAACAAAATTTTGCTTCCTCCACAGGATCATGGGAGAAGACAAGCATGGATGTGATTTATTATCATTTATAGCATTAGCCTTGTATAACAATCTTATTTAAAAGTTCTTCTTTCTTTTAGCATCTTGCATGATGCTCAATGCACCCAGTGGTCCCCCACCGGTGTACAGAGTGGGGCAATATTATTTTAAATTTGATTTACTGGTAACGGGCAGAAAAACTAGAGTGCTTGACTCATGAGGCTGAACATTTGCTCGCAGGAATGTCTTGTTCGAAGATGCATGCTTTTATAATTGGCAAGGAGAGATGATGTAAAGATCGTTAGATTTTAATGAGATTTTTTTTCTTAAATTTAAGTGGCATTTTGATTTTGAGCAAAAGGAAATTCCTTTTTAAAACAGCCATGCTTGTTTGTGTCTTTTTTTTTTTAACGACTCAACAAATGGCTTTAACCAGTTTTAGACTTACATCCAAAATGACTTCCTATGACACCTGATATTCACTTAGACAGTGCAAAAGTTTATTTATTTCTTGAAAAAAATTCATTTAGGTGACATTCTTATTAGATAAGTATGAGTGAAATGTTTTATTAAAGGCTTTTACTGTACAGTTGTGTGTGTGTGTCCGTGTAGTTTTTTGTTTGAGTTCCTTGACCACTTGAGAACAGGATGTCTAATGCAGGACAGGCAAACTTACCCCAAAAATATGTTTACGCTGATGTTACCCCAGATTTATAAAGATGAAAAATTTAAAATTGTTTTTTTAAAAATCTTTTTACACCAAGACTAAAATTGTAAATATAAAAAATGGCAAAATAAATTTGATAATAAATTAATAGAATCCTGAGAGAATTCAAGCATTTCTTTGGAGAAAAAAAAATTTCACTTCAAATTTTGTAGAAATGATGTTTTATTTTGATACAATGACAAGAAAATTGTTTTTTTTTTAACTCAGAGAAATGTGGATACTGTCTTTGGGGCTACTTAATTGATTTGCATGCTTTGCGTTATTTTCATTGGAGTGAAAAACCGTAATTCGTAAAGGTAGGTTGTGCCTGCCTCCTCATGAGCAATTTTGAAAACCTTTGCATCTCTTGATGTTTTGAGGGTAAGTAGTAGAGTCACCAGGGATGCGGACACCACCCTGGAGCCTTCGGAGCAGGATGACACCCTAACTGGGGGGTGCCAGGAAATTAAAAATAGTAAATTTTGACAAACCTCGATCAAGTCGGTCTCACTACACATCTAAAATACATGAGCGGGAGGTCACTTGTCCCTAGAGAAATTTACCACCAGAGCAGGTTGCCATAAGAGCAGGGTTTCACTAAAGCAAGCCGACTCGGAGGGGGTCCTTGGAGAAGTCTGAATGAGCCGACACCATGAGTTTACCCCATAAGCTAGCTGCCAAGGCCATTCGTAACCGCAATATGTTGAGTGCATTTTAAATTACACTGGCCACATTCAGTGTCGCCAGAAAAAAAATTTTTTGGCTTTAAAAATACAATATCAATTGAGCCCTCACTATCCCTAAGATTTCCATTTACCCCAGTTGGCTGGCCACTGGCCTAAAGTAATGAATTTGTACTTGCATAATTATATTCACTGTTGTTTTTTTTTTCCCATTCATTTATCCTTTTATTTGTAAAAGGATGTCATCACTGCCTCATGATTTTTTAAATAAAATAATGAAGACATATTTTAACCCATTACATTTTTTAAACATTGAACATACAAGAAACATTGCAAATCCCATCTACATGCATAGGAGCCAAAATGATCAATAAATTGATCGTGGGCCCTTAAGATATAGAAGAAGAAGAAGAAGAATAGCACATCCTTGTCTCTTGGTGATATAAATAGATCTCCATATTACTTTTTTTAAAAACAATTTTTAAAAATTATTTTTATTAATAAAAAAAAAAAAAAGAAATGTGTCCTGCAGTTGGGAAGAGCTCTTTGGTTTTTCTAGTTCATTTTAAATAGGGACGCTTTCAAATTAATTATACTTGCTCATTGACCACCAATATATAGAAGAAGAAGAAGAATAATAGCACATCCTTGTCTCTTGGTGATATAAATAGATCTCCATATTACTTTTTTTAAAAACAATTTTTAAAAATTATTTTTATTAATAAAAAAAAAAAAAAAAGAAATGTGTCCTGCAGTTGGGAAGAGCTCTTTGGTTTTTCTAGTTCATTTTAAATAGGGACGCTTTCAAATTAATTATACTTGCTCATTGACCACCAATAACGACATGCACAGACACTGTCTCAGTTTTTTACATTTTTATCAACTACTTTCTTTGTCTTTCTTTTCATAAGTTTTCAAGCTGTGAAATATAATGTTTATGATGGCTATGAACAATTGAAAATTATGTTTGAACCTTGCTGTAGTGAAATAATAAAACATGGTATTTCATTTGATTTTTTTTCAATGCTCAAGTGTTAACTATTTTTACTTTGTCATTTCTTACCATTATCTACCATTTTGTAGTGAAATGATCAATATATCAGTAGTTCTCAACCATTTTAGTGCGTGTCGCCTTGATAACATGTTCCAACTCGTGGTAACCCATAACCAGAAGTATTCCTAGGAATTAAGAATACTTTCATTTAGAGGGTTGGGTTGGGGGGGGGGGGGGGGAAAAAAAGGAAAAAAAAAAAAAAAAAAATANGGTTGGGGGGGGGGGGGAGAATAAAAGTGAAGAAAAAAACAAAGAAATATCAACATTATAATCCAATTTCATACACTCCAAAGCAGATAATTGAGAGTGACTGACCCAGAAAAAGAAAATGACAGTGACAGATCCAGAAATATAAGACATTGATAGATCCACAAATATATGACAGTGGCAGATCCAAAAATTGATAAACCAAATTTTCAGATTGACATCAAATTATGTCTGACACTATATATCATTTTCCCCATTGAAATACATATAGTAATTCAAAAATTGAATGTAATGTATTATATTAGTTTCATAACTTAACCCAATAAAAACATGTAATAGAGCTAATTTTTGTTTACAGAGGGTGAGGGTAAACCATTATAACAATAATTATTACAGAGTAATGTGAACCAATATAACAATTGTTACAGAGAGTAAGGTAAAACCATTACAACAATAATTTTGTGAAGAAACAGATTACCAAACATACAGAAGTGACACAACATTGATTCCCAAACATACAGAAGTGACACAACATTTATTCCCAAACATACAGAAGTGACACAACATAGATTCCCAAACAAACAGAAGTGACACAACATAGATTCCCAAACATACAGAAGTGACACAACATTGATTCCCAAACATATAGAAGTGACACAGCATTGATTTCCGAACATACAGAAGTGACACAACATAGATTCTCAAACAGACATGACATAACACTGACTCTCAAACAGAATTGACATTACACTCATTGCCAAACATACAGAAGTGACACACCATAGATTAACCAACATAAAGAGTCGACACAACACTGATTCTCAAAAAGAAGTGAGACAACATTGATTCCCAAACAAACAGAAGTGTCGCAACACTGATCTCAAACAGAAGTGACACACAATTGATTCTCAAACATAAGTGACACACCACAGATTTTCAAACAAACACAAGTAACACAACATTGATTCCCCAACATACAGAAGTGACACAACACTGATTCTCAAACAGAAATGACATGACACTGATTGCCAAACATACAGAAGTTACACACCACTAATTCCCAAACATACAGAAGTGACACAACATTGGTCACAGGCCTCTTAATGTTCATATGAACAGGATTTAAGCATTTTATGACGGCAAATTCAGTCCACATCATATAGCCTGCTCAATAATATAGTTTATTTATTATATGTATTTAATGTGCATTTTTGTTTGTTTGTTTTTTGTTTTTGTTGTTAATTTGGGCACTTGAACTGTCAAGCTTTTTAAACTTTAAAGTACGGTATTGTAGCTCCAAGGAGCGCTCCAGGCGTCAAAAACTCTAACCGCTCTGCTGAATTGGGGGTGTAAAAATTGTAAGCGTTGAACTGTCCAGTTTTGGGTTGGTTTTCAGGTGTAATGGGGTACAGATGAACAGCTGATTACAACAAATTGAAAGAAGTACCGTTTATTAGATTTGGGTTTAACTCTTTCTCTACCTCTGTCTGTCTGTCTCTCTCTCTCTCTCTCTCTCCCTCTCCCCCCCCCCTCTCTCTCTCTCTCTCTCACACTCTCTCTCTCTCTCTCTCTCTCTCTCCCTCCCCCCCCCCCCTCTCTCTCTCTCTCTCTCACTCTCTCTCTCTCTCTCTCTCTCTCTCTATATATATATATATATATATATATATATATATATTTATATATATTATATATATGTAGGCCTACATATATAATCAAAAATCAAGAGGGAGATATGATTAAAAATCATGGTAATACAGATATACTGATGAAAACAATTAATCTAAAAGTAAACAGAACTAAAATATATTAATTTATAAACGTATATATTGTATATACATATATTAATAACGAAAGTAAACTTTGTTAAGATGGACGAACTTTATTTTACTTCGTTATTTTAAATACTGGAATCTGTATTACTACAGCCAGCACAATAAAAAGAATAATTATAAAAAATTTAAAAGAAATGACTAATCACTAAACGAAAAGATGTATATTTATTGACTTTTGTATTTTTTTTAAAGGAATTAATTTTTAAAACAAATAAATTAAAATTTTTTTTTTTTTAAATAAATGTATTTATTATATGAATAAGACCAAAGTAATTTTTATATTATTTTTTGGGGGGGGGCGGGGGGGGGGACAAAAATAATTAAATTCATACATTAATCTTTGTTTAGCGCTTATCATTGATTTTAATAGACTTTAATTGATTTATAAAAAAAATGTCTTTCAGTTTTTTCTTTTGCAAATTTTTAGTACCGTGAATTGTATAATTATTTTTNGGGGGGGGGGAGTGCCCCCCCCCCCCGGGGAAAGCCAAGTGCCACCCGGAGCAAAAATATGTCCAACAATAAATCAACTGGAACTGCTGGCACTGCCCCCCCCCCCACCAAAAAAAATCTGAAGAAATCTCTGTACTTCAAGGTCACTAAAGCGCCGTGCGAACTCGACGCGAAGTAAGCTACATTTATCAGCATAGTGTACACTGGGACTTGGATATGTACGCCGGTCAAGACCTCGCGGGCCTGATAAAATTGTAAGGCGGGACGGATGTGGCCCGCGGGCCTTGAATTTGACACATGTGTTCTAGGGGAAGTAACTCTTAACCTCAAGGAAATAATTTTTATTCACACAGAAATATAAGAATTACACATAACATCTAATCAAGATACGAAGAGCCATGGAAACAAATATTGGGCTAATTCTAGTTGTGGATGCCTAGGGTTGCCAGATACGTGGACACGAAAAGGAGGACATTTTGAATGTTTCAATTGAGTCGTCTTGGATTAAACTCAAATAGCTGCCAATATTAAGTGTATATCATTATCATACTCTTTGCCTCATTCTCATTGACAATAGGTACTTAACTTTGATTAGAAAATTAAAACTTTTTGTAAAAATAAACCAATGGCATAGTTGAATAAAGCTAATTTTTAAAGAATTATAACACCAAAATCATATTTTTAGCTGTTGTAGTTTTAAAGTTATGAATTTTTAAAGTACTACTTAATTTGTCCTTTTTTAACATGGACCGCATTTCCATGTTCTGGCGTCTGGTACCCAATTCCGCTGTTCGCATCACTGGCATCACGAGATATATAACTCTTGTTTTAATGATAATTTTATTTTCAGAACTAATGGTGTATTGAAAAAATAAGTTTAATAATGTTAACAATTATTAAGCTAAAATCTCACTTTTTGTTGTTCTCATTATTGGAATTTTATTTATTTAATTTTGCAGCTTCAAAAGTTGAAAGGCTTTAATAGCAATGTATTAAACTAACTTTACATCAATCTGAGGGTCTATAAATTGAATATGGTTCTTGCTAAATATTTTAAAAATATGCAATCTGTTTTAATATTATACTTCATCATAATTAAAGCATGACTGTTACTTAAATTTAAATGCTTGTTAATTATTAAATGTTTAATTATAATAGCACTTAGCATCATGCTTTAAAATATACCGTTTTAGCATGAATTTCAACGTACCGGCCTTCGATTCCATCCATGTATGTTTATTTAGATAAAATGAAAACTAAAATTATATGATATTTCAAACAAATATTAGGAATTTAATGTTTGCATACAACTAGTGGATTGGTTCATCAATTATTTTAAATCGAGTGCGTTTTTTGATTTGTCTAATTTTTTAACACAGCTTTTAGAAAAACAAAGTAAAATGATGTTTTAAATAAAATAAAAAAACTTAGCCTTTATTTATTACATTTCCAAAACTTTTCTCTCTTTAATTTCAGAATAATAAACATCTTTCTCAGCTATTTGAACGCATTTTTAAATTTTATTTTTATAGACGATAATCTAGTGCAAGTAGAAAAATATATATTTAAACAACTATACAAAATAAAATTTAAAAAAAAAAAAAAATTTAAAAAAAACTTAGCATTTCGATATCTTGAAAGTCGATATTTTTTTTTTTTTTTTTTTTTTTTTTTTTGTTTTTTTTTTTTTTGGTTTTATCGTTAATAAAAATAAATTTTATAAAATTGGAATTTTTTTTTTTTTAAGTATATCGAAATTTCTAGTTGATCTGAAGAAAGTTACAGTAATTTGAAAATCTAAATGAACATTTCAATAAACTGAATATTGGGAATTTAAACTTTATTCTTATAAGATTTCCCTCAAATAAAGTGACACACCATGATGTATTTTGTAAACAATTGATGTCTTCTTAACATAATTATGCTGGTTATATATGATTTACAAAAAGTAACAATTTTGAAAAGAAATGTGGAGCCCTTTTTACAAAAGAGATTTTTTTTTTTTTTTGGCCATAGTATTAGTATTAGTAAAACTTGGAAATATCAGGAAATAGACATAGACGTTGGCCTCTGGTTTTTCTTCTTCGTTCAACGTGTAAAATTATTTTAGCAATGCTTTTTTTTTTTTTCTTTGGTTATGAATACCTTTTTCTTTTTGAAGGAATTTTATATTTAATGTTTTAAAAAATTGTTTTTAATTTATTTATTTTTTAAGTAGTTTATCCCAAAAACTAAAAAAAATTTTTTCTTCTTTGTTTAACGTTTAAAATTATTTTAGTAATTTTTTTTTTTTTTTTCTTTGGTTATGAATACCTTTTTCTTTTTGAAGGAATTTTATATTTAATGTTTTAAAAAATTGTTTTTAATTCATTTATTTTTTAAGTAGTCTATCCCAAAAACTAAAAAAAAAACAACCAACTCGTTTCTATTCA